AAAAGCAAAATGTTCCGTTTTACAAAATAAATGAAAAATAAATGTACACAAAAAATATCTGTGTATGTATATCGAAATAAACAATATTATTTCTAAACTCCTTCAAAATATGACATATTTGGCCCTAATTTTTGTTACAACAAATCACGGAGGGCCTAAAATAATAGATTTTATTATTCTGATCAGGCTCGAGACAAGGCTGTATGATAATTAATCCTTTAATTTTTGCAAATGGACAAAATAACACTTCACAGATTTCCTGCCAGCCCGACGATAACAAATTATTTGTATTTATTTATGCTTTAAAAAAACTTTTCGTGAAGAGTTAATCAGAGAAATGGGAAGAAAGATTCTAAGAAAATGCGAAATTGATCACTCTGTAAATAATTGGCAACATTTTTTATCAACTTTAGTAAGGTAATGACGTCGTAGGAGTTCTCATAATTTTCCAGATTGTGACTTTATCAAAAGTTCCTGAGCCCTTTTTCATAGAAATTATAAATACTCATTGCCAGGGCAGTCGCTCATACAAAACTTTACCATGTCCTTTAGTTATCATGCTCCATTAATATTTTTTTTTATATAGGTATTTATATTTATCGCAAAATTAATTTGAATCTTTGTTGGTATTCCTTTTATATTATTATTAATATTAAATTTCTACCGTACGTTATCATTTTAATTTTTGAATTTAATACAAAATGAGTTTCTGTAATTGGCTAAAGTACCATTTAAAAATTTATATTAGATTATATTGTGTAAAACGCTGCTGAAACTTGTTAATGATAAATACATAAAAATAAAAGAAATAAAAATAAACTACACACATACCTATAAAACACTTACAGGTATTTTGCCAAATCTCTATTTAACTAAAACTAGATTTATGCCATACAATGATGACAGATTGACATTAATATTTTTCTATGGATTACATGAATTCCTTGAATCATATACGCTCCTGCCTATTTAATTAGATACTTTATGACTTCAGTTACTGTATGTACCCTTAGCACGAATGAATATTCGAATTCGAATAGTTTGCGAGTCCCAAATGTCATTGTCAAATGTATACTGAATTTTAGTTCTCGTTACGTACTTTGTGGCGTTGCTGTTCAATTTTCCATACATAATTTGACAATGACATTTCGGGCTCGCAAACTATTCGCGATATCCCCACGACAACGGCTAACTAGAGCCGAGGTCCGAGTCTCAGAGACGCCCTCTAGTTGAGCCGACCCCCTCAGGTTCGAGTGATCTAGAGGCTCTAGACCCTGGGTTCCGAACCTGGGGGTAATTACCCCTCCGGGGGTAAATCAGCCATACTTGGGGGGTAACAAAGAACCTAATTATTTGGTCAAATCTAAATAATAGTACTAAATAGAGCATGCGGTCCTTCTTGCTAGTGAGCCCGCGGGGTGCTGAGTGTGGGAAGCGGGGCGAGATTCTCTCCTGATGATGACATTAGTAGAGACGAAGATGTAGCAGCCAAATTGGAATTTCTTGGACTGATGATAACATTTTAAATTCGGGGTTAAATCTGTTTTCCTAATAGGTTACAGGGGCAGCAGAATTGGAAAGGTTAGGAAACACTGCCTTAGAGGCACTAGCCAATTCTCGACTTGAGGTCTCCTTAGGATCTCGCCATCCCCAAGCCCGGTGACGCTGTAAAGGTCATCTACGACCAACAGCACACACAAGCAAATAAAAAACGGTTCGTGCTAAGGGTACGGATATTTATGTCAGCACCAGTTAGGAAGTTATTTTACACCTCCTTTCAGAGTATTTTCGCGTGAGAAGCATCTAGTCACGAACGGTAACATAATTTAACTACAGCCCAACAATAAAGTAGCGCGTGTAGGCTTACAATGAACTTTCCCTTTGTGATAAAATTAAACACAATACGAATATGTACTTAAGAATTTAATGCCCACCTACAGGTAAAACAGATAGGTGTGTGTTACACGAACTCGCGGTTTTTTTTATGTTAAAAGCCCGCTGATGGTAACCGGCCACCATAGCAGACGCTTGCGAATCTCGAAATATCATTTGCACCATTAGTAGATAAATATTTCCAACACTCACACCAATTAGCCTAGCCCCAAAATAAGCACTATAAGGCTTGTGTTACGGGATACTAGGGTATCGGATAGAATACAGATACATACAGTACATATATAAGTATATTTATATAGAAATACATATAAAACATCCATGACTAGAGTGCAAATGGTCGTATTCATCACACAGACATCTGTCTTCATCACAATCCAGTTTACAAACCACTCGGCCACGGAGGTCGTCTTTGCCTACCCTGACCCGTTCCCCTAGCCCGAGCCCTGAAACCTTACTCACCGACAGAAATAGCACACCACCAAAAGGTACTATGCGATTCAAATAAGAATAGGAATGCCAATGACCTCCATCTGTCAAATGCCGCTTAAAAATTACGGTTTGCAAAAAAATCTTGGAACCCTTTTTTAGCACTGAGCTAATCTTAGAATAAGTACCAAACATTCGTAAACAAAAGAAGGAAACAAATAATGAGTACTGGAAAAGGGAAATATAAGAATTTTAGTTTTATTATAAATACAGGTAATAAAAAGACCTTATTTATTTAAAATAAAGTTGTCGTTTTAAAACCTTCAATAATCGATATTTTATTTTATAGCCGAATGCAGCAGTGATGATGGTGACTGGCGGTATTGCAGAGATGAGCGGAATTAAAGAGCTAGATTCTGATTTTTGGTTTCCTCACACATTTTTAGTAAATAATGTTATTAATAATCTGATATTTTTTCTCTCATAATCTTTGTAAATAAGTTTTATTAAAGAAAAACTTTTTTGTTCACTCTACCTAACTGGTTTAAATTGACAGATATGACGTCCAAATATGGCGCCTAGTCGGTCCTATTCTTAGTTGAATCACATTATATTATTGTTATTTTAATGAGATCTACTGTAAGGTGGAGGTTACTACCCCAGACGGGCACTCCAATACCTCTCTTAAATATTATGTTTTAATACTAGCTGACCCAGCGAACTTCAGGCAGGTGTTAGAAGAGAAAATTTAGGGGATGTGTTACGTAGTGTTCTATCAATTTCCTGGGATAACATTCCTCCTAACCCATATGAGAACACTACGTTACAATACCCAATAGTTTGAATTTAGCGCGAAGGCGCATTGTAGGTTTCAGAACAGTACGTTACAGGTGGACAACCATTATTACTTAAGGATATGAAAAAAAGATAGGAGCCGATTCTCAGACCCACAGAATATGCATATAAAATTTCATAAAAATCGGTCAGGCCGTTTCGGAGGAGTACGGTAACTAACATTGTGACACGAGAATTTTATATATAAGATTTGTTCCGAGGTACTGAGTACTTACTTAATACAACTTGCCTCTAACACGTGCGAGAAACCGATGATCTAGATAATAATATTATTTATTGATGTATGCCGTCAACATGAGCTGTAGTCAATATCTTTCGTGTCTGATATAATATCTTGTCTAAAAGAAATGGCGTTCGTTGTAATTCTAATAATAGTAGTCTACCTCACTATTTTACGATTATTATGCTGTAATATTGGCAGAGAAAGATATTTTCGACGAAGTATAATTAATGAGTTAAGTAATTAAAGCTCTAAGCCTTAGAGTGTAAGGCAGTGTTTTCTAATCTTTCCAATACTGCTACCCCTGTAAGGAAAATAGATTTTACCCCGACTTTAAAATGTTATCATCAGTCCAAGAAATTCCAATTTGGCCGCTACATCTTCGTCTCTAATAATGTCAGCTTCCCACACTCAGCTCCCCGCGGGCTTGCTAGCAAGAAGGAGCGCATGCTCTATTTAGTAGTATTATTATATAGTATTTTCTTATTACTAAGATTTGACCAAATAATTAGGTTCTTTGTTACCCCCGAAGTATGGCTGATTTACCCCCGGAGGGGTAATTACCCCCAGGTTCGGAACCCAGGCTCTAAGGCATCTTCCTCACCTGATTGGTGAGGGCCACAGAACACGGCTGGAGTTGGCGCGCCACAGTTATGTGTGAAAAAACGCTTATTACTTGAACAAAACTTCGTCGTTGCTTTCGGGTGTGAGCGTTGATTGGTTCGATTGTTTGATGTCGCGTCGTTTGATTGGCTATTATCTATTAGGTGGAAGTGTATTGGGGGCGAGCCGGTGACATCGGTTCCCGTAGAAATAGTCTATGATCATCCTTCTAACCTCTTTCTGTGTGCTGTGGTGCGTTGGTTGCTCGTTTCGTTTCTGTGCAGATTCTTCACCGAGTGCATGTATTTAAATGGGAACCTCCTCACTGATTCATTTTAGGTTCATAAACAGATTTCTAATATCCATCCAACTTTCTAAGCTAGACGTATAATTGATGTTTAATATTTTATTATTTGATTTCATTATTATTCATTAGAAAGGATCCTTTAGTTCTACACCCATCCAGCCATCAATCCAAATAGACGCCCTTTACAGGATCAGAGATGTCAATTAAGACTAAGTTCAAATTGATTTATTAAATTATTAAGATTTTGCAAAGATTTAGGGAGACGTTTCACTTTCTGCGAAGTTTAATAGTAGCAGGCATCTACATTTACATGACTGCCAAAGATTTTAATGTTTTCAGAGTTTATTTTTATGCGTATTTTTTTCCACCACCTTAAAACATTCTAAATACTTGAACGGGGATTCAAATGTATAAGCTGTCATTGAGGCGTTAGAGGCGTGGCGGTCCTGGGGCAACGTAGGAGTGGATCGCCCCTGTGAGAGCTGCAACTGCTCCACTTCATCATCACCATCATTAGCCTATTAATGTCCTCACTGCTGGGGCACAGGCCTTTCCTATGGACGGAATTGAGAGATGCCCCACTTGCCCTGCCTTAAATCCGGCCTTGACTGAGTGAATTCATCATTTTCTCCTCTTTTATTATAAATTACAAATTCTGCTTTACTCAAGTTAATACCATTTTCTTTGTTTCAGAATATATCTTCACAAGTGACGTTAATAGCGACGTTATCGGTGATTGCGTTCGTGCTGTCAATAGTGCTGGCTCTGGCGCTACTACCTGCGGCGCCAGAATGGGAGGCGCTGGCGCTAGCTGGCTCCGTGCTAGTTACAGTGTGTTTGGGCACTGGCACACTAATGGCCACGCATCATGCGCCGTTGCCGCTCTTTGCACTGATACTGGTAAGTGGAATTTGAGTATCTAGTGCTTCTGCAGGCGGTGCCAGAATGGGAAACGCTTGCTGGCTCCGTGCTCGCATCAGTGTGTTTGGGCGCTAGTCACTGATGGCCACGTGTCGTGCGCCGTTGCCGCTCTTCGCGCTTAATCTGTACCCTTAGCACGAACCAATATCGAATTCGTATCGTTTGCGAGTAAGAAATGTCATTGTCAAATGTGTACTGATTTTTAGTTCTCTTTATGTATGTACGATGTAGCGCTAATTTTCAAGTTTTCATACAAAATTTGACAATGACATTTCGGTCTCGAAAACGTTACGAATTCGATATTGGTTCTTGCTAAGGGTACTGGTAAGTGCAATTTTGAGTATTTACTAGCAATAAAAGTGCCTGTATTGTCGATAGAGGTAACTCTGAAACTTCTGGATACAGGCCTGTGCTTGGCATTTTGCACATTTTGGAGACACTTTTGATGATTTCTATCTTTATCATACACCTCTGTTTCGAATATTGAAATAAATTGTAATCACTTGCTTCATGTGCACTTGTAGGCTCATCACAGTACCAAGAGAAGGAAATTTTGTTTTATTAATTCTCGTCTATGTGAAGCTCTAAAAGGTTTCATTACCGCACTGCATGTGGTAGCTCCTGGAACTTTAATTAAGTCAAGCAAGGGATTGCATTAATACTATTCTGTACTTGCGTTCTTGTAGTGAGAAAATTTGTCTTAGCTATATAAAATAAGGCATAGGGTTAGGGTAAGATATACGCAAATGTCAACTCTGTTTAGTGTCGCAGGCACTTACAGGCTACCACCACAGACTTAGATTAAAGTAGACCCGGTATGTACTACAAAATGTAAGGAAACCGAGTATGTCAGATTTTGAGAACACACGAGAACACGAAATACGTGGTCAAAAAGTATTTCGATTACATTGTTTTTACAGCTTTATATTATTACATATAATGCGATTCAAATAATAATAGGAAAGCCAATGACCTCCATATGTCAAATGTCGCTTGAAAAGTACGGTTTGCAAAAAAATCTCGGAATACTTTTTTAGCACTGAGGTGATTCTAGAATTAAAACCAAACATTTTTAAACAAACAATAACAAATGTTGATAATTAATATTAGTTGTTTTTTTTTTCATTTATTGAGGTTTGGCTATGAATGATTGATAACCTAAATCGTCAACCAAATGTCACTTTATGTTGCGTTCAAAAACTCGTTTTAAAACTTTCGTTTACATATAGGATGCATGTTCGTATGTGACCTGCATGATTAATCATAACTTCTCTGGCGGTAATGCAGAGATGAGCGAAATTGAAGAGCTCGATTCTGATAATGTTTTTTTTTTCACACAGTCTTAATACAGAAATACTATTAAAAATCGGTTGTGTTTTTTCTCAACCTTAGTAAATTAATTTTATTAAAAAATCGGATGTTTTCTCTCACTTAATCTTAGTAAATAAGTTTTATTAAATAGCAACATTTTTTTGCTCACTCTACCTATTTGGTTTGAATTGACAGCTATGACGTCAAAATATGGCGCCGAGTCGGTCCTACTCTTAGTTGAATCAAATTATAGATCGATATTTTAAACATTACGATTAACGTCCGGTATCGTGAATGTATACTGCGTGATAGAATCAGAAATGAGGAAATCCGCAGGAGAGCTAAAGTAATCGACATCGCTCGAAGGATTCCTCTGCTGAAGTGGCAGTGAGCGGGACACGTAGCGAGGAGAACCGATGGCCGTTGGGGCGCGGAAAGGTTTTCGAATGGCGTCCACGCACTAGACGACGCTTGGTGGGAAGGCCCCTCACCAGGTGGACGGACGATCTGGTGAAAATCACGGGAAGCCGATGGTTGCGCGTGGCACAGGACCGATCAATGTGGAGATCCTTTTGGGAGGCCAATGCTCAGCATTGGGCGTCGTGCGGCTGACATGATGATGATCGGGAATGGTGACGCGAAGAAATTAATTAGGGTAAAAGCAAGATCACTGATCTTTGACATGTAAAGTTTTGCGTTCTCGTCTATTCGGATCTAGGTCTGTGGCTACCAACATACTGGCCGTATTCTTCATGTCAGGAAGAGCACATCTTTCTAGTGATAAAAGACTTTAAGTTTAGCCAGATAGAACGACAGAAGGTTCTGGTATTTTTTTATGATTTTTTTTTTGTATAAGGGTTCGGTAACCTTAACAATGACAATCATAATAAGCCTCCGTGGCTTCATTGAACAAGTAGGAATTAATAAAGGCAATTTATAATCAAGTCCTGCCTTATGGTCAATATCTATATATATATAAAACTCAAAGGTGACTGACTGACATAGTGATCTATCAACGCACAGCCCAAACGACTTAACGGATCGGGCTGAAATTTGGCATGCCGGTAGGTGTTATGACGTAGGCATCCGCTAAGAAAGGTTTTCATCAATTCTACCCCCAAGGGGATAAAATAGGGAATGAAAGTTTGTATGAAACTTTTTCAATTTTAAACCGATCGGGCTGAGACTTTGCATGCAGGTATAAGAAGAATCATAGATGAATGTCATTGTGTATAATATAAGCCTGAGAACAAAAACTGTAGTCTACACTTTAGCTCTACACCGAAGCGAAGCGAGGGCGGGCTGCTAGTCGCATATAATACCTTTAAAGTCTGAAAATCACACACGTAAGCGGAGGTCAAAAGCCGACACCTAGCGGCCATCAGTGGTGTATACAAGAGCATGCACTTAAGATTAACTTGAGCCCTGCCTGCAAATGGATGGTATATGACACATTTTACGAGGCACTCAGTAAGTCTTGATGGTCATAAGAGAATTAAATGGAAAAGAAGCTTCCATTTTTATTTTATTACACTTTTATTTAGGCATTTCACTGCTAGATTTTAACAGAAAATGTTTACTAGAAAAAAAAAACAACATTACTTGGGATGACTTAAAATTTACCAAGTAAACTTTTTCTTTAGATACGTCTTATCTCTTATCTATTAGACAAGTCCGTCCGTCTGTGGTGCTGTTTCAGCGGCCAAACCGTAAGAGATAGATAAAGAGAATATTTAAGTTATAAGTTAAGAATAGTCTGATAAGACTACAAACCGGATTTGAGTAACGTAGCACCAAGGGCGGATCCAGCTTTGGCGCCAGGGGGGCTCCGTATGTCATCACAGGTAGGACGCACTGATTGAAGACTTTCGTCTTTAGGCACTGTGGGATCGACGATGTCAAGACTTGACGTAGCTTCCCAAACGCTGCCCAACCCAGCCGAATTCTTCTATTCACCTCGTCCTCAAAGTTGTTTCTACCTAACTGCAATGTCTGCCCGAGGTATACATATTTTTGAACAACTTCGAGAACGGCACCGTGTATTGCAATCGGTTCCGGTAGAACATATACATTGAACATGACCTTGGTTTTATCCAAGTTCATCCGTAGGCCGATGCGTATAGATGTGTGTTACAAATATTTATAATTAAATTATTTATTATTATTATTATATTGAGGCAATATAACGCCAGCTAATATCTTAATATTCATAACATCATCATAATAGTAAGTGTTATAAAGATCAAAGGCAGCAGTAGATTTCTGACTGTTACGGGTAACTTGAGTTGCCGTATCTACCCTTTTTGTTTTAATCTAAGACAACGACAGACTTAATGGAATAGTGACTATATAAGTCATTTCAGAAGTATAATTCTATTCTTCCAAATTTTCTTATTCAATGAGAATAAGCCGTCTAATTTAAGGACAATGAACTCGACGCGACATCACCAATGTGTCCAGCGAAATTATTATAATGATAGAAACACATACTTCGTACGTTTCGGGCGAAATTAGCAAAATGAAAAGACCAGCTGATAACCCATATTGTGTGTGGTGTTCCCGCGATCTGTGCCCTAAATCAATTCCGTCTCGAGCGGAAAAATTTCATCAATATCACTCTGGAAAGTTTGAACATTGGAATATATTTACGAAGGGAGTTATCCAATCAAGGAGTTTGATCCGAGACGATATTCACGAAAAGGATAAGCTTTATGTACACTAAGTAATATGGAAAATGGATTAGTTTTAATTGCTTCTTTCGTTTATATTTCAGATTATGTATTTTAAACGATCTGTTGGTTATTGTTTGAAACCGTTAATTGATTTTCCTTTCGGATCTTACTTTTACCTTACGTTACCTTACTTTTATATATATATATATATATATCTTTATATATATAATTCTTCTGTGAGTGTGTATGTCACTGAACTTCTCTTAAACGACTGGACCGATTTTGATGAAATTTTTTGTGTGTGTTCAAGGGGATCTGAGAATGGGTTAGATTCACAATTTTGTCCGCTGGACAACCCCTATTTTTTTAGGGCGGTACGAAGTTCGCTGGGTCAGCTAGTATATATATATAGCATTCTGAACGGGCCTTAGAGTAATCGCTCCATTACAATCGGCTACGACTACTGCTACGATGCTACGGATACGGGACAAGATGCATAGTATATTATCACACAATACTTACTATCTTATGAAATACTAACGGTGTCCTGCGGTTTTTCCCGAATGAATAAATAATAATAATAAATAAATAAATATTTCCGACACTCACACCAATTAGCCTAGCCCCAAAGTAAGCACTATAAGGCTTGTGTTATGGGATGCTAGGGTAACGGATAGAATACATATACTGTACATATATAAGTATATTTATATAAATACATATTAAACATCCATGACTGGAGTACAAATGCTCGTATTCATTACACGAACATCTGCCCCCACCGGGATTCGAACCCGGGACCTCTCGAGTCGGCGACAGCCATGAAACCCGGCGTACAAACCACTCGGCCACGGAGGTCGTCAAGAAGAATATGAGCAAAAAGTTTATAGTGGGTCACCCTTAAAAGATACACCCTTAATAATTGCTGTCTCGAAATGTTGTATTCGAATTTCAAAGGGAACCATTGCGTCATTCATGATTTTTGGGTAACTTATA